TGTGGATACCTTTGGGAGGCCAGTATACCACCTACCATAGCCATCTCTTCTGTCACTCAGTAATATCTGTGTGCTTCCTTCCACTGGTCAAACTTCTGCTTCTTCTGCCCTGATCCACCTAACTAACTATTGTTTCACATGTGGTTGAAAGAGTGATTGGTTCAGTGTGTTGTCATCATTTATACAAATCTTTTGTACCTGTTTACAGGCCATTGAGTCAGAAGTTAGCTGTTTCTAGATCTGATATGTCCTGATGCAATTAGTCAAGGGCCAAGGTCAAGGTCATACATTAGAATATTGCTACCCATTTGTAAGGAAATGTGTAGCACTCTTCTTTCATCAGGGACTGTCAAAAGGAAAACTTGTCTCAGAAAGATGACTGTGGGCATGGCAAAAGTCTGGATTGCCTATTCAGGATGAGTTCCATGGGAGGGAAGGGGTTGTCAAAATTTACATATTTAAGACTTAATATGAAGAAATTTCTGTTTCTCTTTAGGGAACTTATTTAAGAGCTGCCATTATCTCCTCCTCTGGGGGAGAAAACTTAGTCTCAGAATGTCAAGGTTTCTGTCCCAACTCCCTTCCACTAATCTCTAATGGTCTTAACTTTGCTTACTTGGCATCTGGGTGACATGTGACAAGATGTGTAGTATATTCGCTCTTTTCTGTGCTCTTGGCATAGATATTGAAGATGAATGCTATTAAGAACTTGGCCAATCTCTTCAGCCTCCTTAAGGCCCCTCAGCTCTGGGTGGTCTGCACCATCATCCTTCAGCTGGAACTCTGCTCCCCACTTTCCATCTCTCAAGCACTGCCTTGAAATTCCCTTGATTCTTCACTGATGCAGTCTCCTGGCAGACTGATTAATTCTGAACTACCTTTGTTGTTCATCCCAGTGGCCTTTCCTATTTCTTCACATCCTGCTGAAGCCAAGGGAGATCCCAGGCAGAGTGGTATTGCAGATCTACTTGGCCTGAACATGCCATGTTACCATTTTATCTTTGGCTGCTTTGGGCAGTGGTTTGCTCCTTTATGATGTGAAATGGGACCCAAACTGCCTTCACACTGATACTCGAAAGCCTGAATTTCAGTATTCTCATTAAATCAATGGTTAATTAATTGTATTTTTCAGGTTTCTTAAAGTGAGTAAATGATATAATGTATGTGAAACACCTCGGAGGGGTATAGAGTAGAAGCCTGAAAGTGATTGTTAATACAATCTTCTAAGTCATCCAGAACTTGGAAGCCGGTCTTGCTCTGGGTTATCTGTGTTATTCCATGGTATAATAGTAAGTATTATGATTTCTGAACTAGTTCTTTAGGTATGTTTATGAAGCAGTTATATCAATGAGTGGTGTCACTTTTTAAATATTACACTTGAGGTTATTTTTAAATGTATCATTCTGAAGATTATCTTGGAACTATGGTCTTGGAGCAAAGAGACTTAGAGGTTTCCAGTGGAAAAAGGAAGGGACAGTATATTCTCTGTTGTTTATGAATATAATAGTAAATGGTCATTAAAGCCAGTTAATAAGATTGTAAGGAAGCAAGAACGGACAGGTGACAGATATTCTTTCTGTCAAAACTTGTGGCAAGAATGGAAGTGAGAGGATTTGAACTGCAGAAAAATTAAAGCATATGAGTATATCATTCAGGAGGAAAAACGTCCTGTCTAGGATTCTCATTATATGCTACACTTTTTCTAGTAGAAGAAATGGAAGCCAGTGTCACACAGTGCAAGAGGAATTGACATATGATTTGCATGGAGCTCTGTCTGGTATTAGAAACATATTATTTTCACTATGTTCTTTTGTTTTATTTATTTTTTTCTGGGAAGAGATTAGATAAAATGGTAAAACAGACTATTATTTTTTTTAAAAAGGGAAAAAAGGGACACCTGGGTGGCTCAGTCAGTTAAGCATCTGCCTTTGGCTCAGGTCGTGATCCTGAGATCCTGAGATCGAGCCCCGTGTTGGGCTCCCTGCTCAGTGGGGAACCTGTTTCTCCTTTGCCCTCTGCCTCCTCTCCATGCTTGTGTGCTCTCTCTCTCAAATAAAGTCTTAAAAAAAAGAAAAAAAGGACTGGGAACAGAAAACAAAATATTCTTAAGGTTCTGTTTTGAAAAACCATGTTAACATGTTAAATATTTTAGAAATGGGGTTTATTTTGTGGCCAGAAGAATTATAAATGTATGTACTTTGTAAAAATATATCATATAATCTTAAAAATGAACTTGAGCCCTTCTCCTCTGAAAACTTTTACTAAACATATACCAGGAGACTTTTTGAGAGCCTTCGCAGTACCTCTTGCAACAACAAAGAATATTATATTCTTTAAAACCAGAAGCAAGGGGAGTTGGGTGGCTCAGGTGGTTAAACGTTTGCCATAGGCTCAGGTCATGATCTCCAGGTCCTGGGATCGAGCGCCGCCTGGGCCTCCCTGCTCAGTGGGGAGTCTGCTTCTCCCTCTGCCCCTCCCCCTGCTTGTGCTATCTCTCTCTCTCTCAAATGAATAAATAATAAAATCTTAAAAAAAAAACAGAAGCAAGAACTAGTTCTCTTCGTGGGGCAGTTATATGGTTTTAATTCATTTTTATTACCAAGAAACATTTCAAATGTGGTTTTATACCTTACAAAGTACAACGGGAAATTTGTATTGAGACTGTAGATGTAAGTTTCTTTAACTTCATTTATTTAAAGTTTATTTGTGAATTAGGTACTGTCTTTTTTTTTAAATTTTCTAAGCATTAAAAAATTACCCTAGAATCAATTTGAGAGAATATTCTGTAAATATTTGAGAGGATCTTCATATACTTCAACTGAATTGTTTCTGATTCATAATCCATTCGTTCTTTAAAGAATTTATAATAAATCTGGCATTTGTAGGTAGTGACTTAATAAGTGACATTACGTTTAGTACATAATGCAAAGTACAGATTGTATATTTGGAACTGATCTCTACCAACTCTGAATTCTCTTGTAGTCCCTATACCACAGGAAGAAGGTCAGACTTCATACAGAAGTGAACACGATATTAATAGCGCAGAGCACACCTGACTTTCGCTCCAATTAGCTTTATCGGTTTTACTGCAAAGAACTAAATATCCTGGATCAATTACAGTGATGTTGAGGTTTATCTGTTTGTACCCCAAATCAATTAATCTTTTCAGGAATTCATGTTCCTGGATGTCATCTTAGGCTAAAATGAAAGAGAGAGCCTTGGGCTGGATGGAGTTGTTCATGGACAACCTGGTCTTTAAAATAGGACTCAATAATCTGCCCCTCAGCAGAAAGTGTAAGCAATCCAGTAATATGCAGGAATCCCAAATAAAACTGAATATGGGGATTTTATGTGACTAGATGACCGTGCCTTGAATAGTTGGGATGATAAACCTACAGGGTCAAAATTTAAATGACTATGAGAAAAACCTTGTAGTTTGAATAAGTCAAAAAAATTTAGGAGTCAAAGCTTGATTTAAATCTTTTAAAATGATTAATTTTGAGTCACTTAAAGAAATGAAAACGTCATGTAAAACTAACGTGTCTGGTTACAAATAAATGGTAGCATACACATCTGTGTATATTTGAAACCAGTGTTTACCAGAAGCATCCGTGGTCCGCTGGAACCGGGCTGTAGGACCTGTTGGTAGTATTGAAGAAGCTGGAGTTCTGCCAGAAAAAGCAGGGTTAAACTGGTTCCTGCATGTGCCTAGATTCACTTCTCCAAAGACAGTAAAAACCTGCCAGGCCCTGGCTTTCAAAGATGGTTTAGTCATGCATGTGCAGCCCATCTGTTGGATGCATAAGGGATTTCCTACTCAGCTCAGCCCTGTAGCCACAAGCATGGTCGCTCTTTCCCCTCACCCCACATTCTTTAATTCTTCTCCCTCCCCACCTCGCCCCCCCTCCAGGAGTGTGCAGGCTCTGCAAAATGGGTGCATCTGATGCCACTCCAGGGAAATCCTTCTGTAGACACTGATGTGAGGCAAAATTATAGGCTTCTTTTGCTGCCTAGCTTACTTTCAGCATAGTTTGATTCAGTGATTCAATGAAAACAAAACCCCAAAGATTCAGTTTGCTAATGAAAAACATTTACACTATTTTAGATTTATTTAACCGAACTTTAACGTAGACCTTAGTGACCTTCAACCCCTCTGTGTCATAAAGCTCTCTGTGTTACATGGATGAACCTTAGCAGGGGCTTCATTCTCTCTCTCTTGCACTCCCTCTCTCCCTGCCCCTCTCTCTTCTCTGTCTCCCTCTCCCTCTCTTCATAAGGTTTAGCAGCATACGCTTTAATCTCAGTGGTTGTAGCTAGGGATAACCGTGGGAAGTATCCTTCAATACATCCTTGCTCTTTCCCCTTCCTCCTGCCTTGGTTTGCTGCACACATCCGCCAAGTCTGACCTTCCATCCTACTGTTTTCCAGCATGGCCTTTTCTTTAAAAAACAAACAAACAAAAAACCCGATGGCAGTTAATACCAGGTTTTGAATTCAGGGAGGTACAATTTCAAGTCACAAATTGCATACACAGGGGTGCCCATGTGACTCAGTCGGTTAAGCATCTGCCTTCGGCTCAGGTCATGATCCCGGGGTCCTGGGATGGAGCCCTGCATTGGGCTCCCTGCTCCGCGGGAGCCTGCTTCTCCCTCTGCCTCTGCCGCTCCCCCTGCTTATACTCTCTCTGTCAAACAAATAAATAAAATCTTAAAAAAAAAATCCTTTAAAAAAATTGCATACACAGATCATTGTGCTACAAGATATTTTACAGCCTGTTCATGTGGCATGCTGTTTTGGCTAGCTGGTGGTCTTACAGCGAATTTTTATTTACACATACATATTTTTGACACATCCAAATTCCAAAAAGATCAAAATGAAGAAAGGAAAGATTGTTTATGGTTTTCTAATCATTGTTTATGGTTTAAAATACATTCTACCGTGAACTTATGAACCACATAAGCAATTATTATTCTTACTAATTTTCTTTTCTCTTCATGCAGATTTATGAGAAGTATCAGGATTTGTATACCGTGGAACCAAATAATGCACGGCAGCTGGTGGAAATTGCAGCCAGGGATATTGAGAAACTTCTAAGCAATAGATCTAAAGCTCTGGTGGTGAGTTTAAATTGGATCTGCACATTTTATTATTTCCCATTACTTGTTTATTTTTCATACTTTATTTTCTTTAGTATGCTTCCTTTACCTTGGAGACGATGTCCATGTAACGTGTTCATAAAAGGTGAGAGATCACAGTTAAATTGTGGAACCCAAAATAATCAGTGTATTTCTAATTATTAGTTTATTTTTTATGTTAGATGGTTTTATAACCTAGGAACAGTGTATTTAATTGGTACATACGTCTCTTTATCCATATGTAAGTTATGAGGCATATTAATCATGTTTAAATCTATGATACAATGTAAAACCCACGAATATTGCCAGCAACCTTCAAGCTGCCTTTATAATCGTCTCTTTTGCTCTCACCCTGCCTCCCTGTCAGAGGTGGCCAAAACGCTAGATATTTGGTTACTCATTTGTTTTCTTTTTAAAAATAGATGTACCTCACATAAATGTTTTCCAAAACATAGTGGTTGTTAGTTTGCTTGTTTTTCAGATTTATTAAAATCCTGTGGTAGTGTAGGTAACCATCAGCGACCTGCTTTCTTCCCTCAACGTTAGGTGTGTGTGATTTATCTGGGTGTTTGCACGTAGCTTTAATTCACTCTTATTCACAGTTAAAAATTATTTTATGAGGGCATATCTCAATTGGTTCACTTATTCTCTGTTGGCAAATTATTATTTGAATTATCTCCAGATGAGTGTTACTATGAATACTACCGCTGAATTTTCTTGAACAAGTCTCCTGGTACATAAATGCAAGGATACCTGTAGGGTGTTATATACAGGATAGGAGAATTAATAGACTGTAGGGTACTCACAAAGTATGAAAATTGTTTTCCAAAATTGTTGTATCAGTTTATACCTCCACCAGCTGTATATGAGTCCCCATTGATCTGTATTCTGGCCAATAAATGGCCATGTCAGACTTCTTAATTGTAGGCCATCAAATGGATGTAAAGTAGAACCTCTACTTCTTAGTAATGAGGCAGACATCTTATTTTATATCCATTCATCATTTTTGTTTCTTCAGTGAAATATCTGTTCATATCTTTTGCACATTTTAATTTTTTAAATTGATTTGTAGCTTATGTATTCTTGATGGTAACTCATTTAAGTTCTGTGTAATGCAAATATCTTTTTGTGTCTTGCTTGTGACTTGTCTTTTCATTGTTCTGATGGTGTATTTTGATAAAATATGCTCTTAATTTTAATGTAGTCACAGTCACCTTTTAAAAAAGTTATTAGTATTTCAGGGTGTGTGTTTTAAGAAATCCTTCCCTATCCTGAGACTGTAAACATTTCTTATATATTTTATTCTAAAAAGGTCTGTGTCTTTCACATTTATTTAATCTACCTGCGACTAATGTCAGTATATAGTGTTAGGTTGCGCTTTAAATTAAATGTTTTTCTAACCAATTTTCCCAGGGCTATGTATTAGCTTGCATTACCCCAGTGAGCTTCAATTATCAAGCTCGATTTCTGGCAGGCCCAGTCCCTCACCATATTCTTCAGAAGGATCTTGAGTATTCTTGAACCTTCACATGTAATTTTAAGTTTTAGATTCAGCATGTCATTATCCAAGAAAATCTTTCCTGGAATTTTGATTGGTAATGCATTGACTCAGAGCAAAGTGGGAAGATTGATATCATTATGGTATTTTGTCCTTCTATTCTTGCTATTGAGCAACTTTTTATTCTATTCAATAATATTTTAAAATTTCTTTCTAAAGTTTCTGTACATCTTTTGTTAGATATAGTGCTGGAGTTTATGTTTAGCTTCTCTTAGTCTACAAATCACAGCACTGTTACAAGAATTTGTCCCAGGACAACTCTAAATTTCCTGTTTACTTATCACTCACAGTTCAGATTTTTAGCTTACTATATTTTATATATATCTTGGCACTCAGAAATTTTGCCTGCTTTTTTGGCACATATAAATCTTTATGTTCCTTAAAATATCCAGGATCTTGTTGTAACGTAAAAGGCGAGTTCTTTGGAATATTTAAAATGCCATATTGCCAGAAGTTGAAACATTTAATTTTTAAGAAATATATGCATGAGTTATCCATGGTAAAATAAGTTTTCATCACTGAAAGATTCAAAGCATTCTCTTCCATTTTGCGTTTCTGAATATCATTTTTATGCATCATTTACAAATGTAAAGTGTGTTTTCAATAAAAGTTTAATAAAAATAAGATATGTACTTTCTACTTAAGTGATTAATATTCACTCAATGACAATGGAAAAGGATTCCAATTTTATTAATTTTTATCAGCTTACCTTTTCCTCCAAATGTAAGAAGTAGATAAATCCGGACATCAGAGTCCCATGAAAAATGATCACAGAATGAAATATGATGTATCTTGCCTTAATTGGATTAAAATGGAGTCTATTGAGACTTTCTTTTTTATCATTTGGAATTGAAGCTCTAGACACCTGGTACATTATTTGAGTCCTATGGGGCATCAGTGACTATCCTAAATGTATGAATGGCAGAATACAGAAATCATAATGACTAATTAAATGTGGAATTAGTTAGATTATATGTCAGGGAGGAAGAGTCATGTTTGTTTTCAGACTAAATTCTTTATTTAACTTTTTGGACTCTACAAAAACAGAAAACACATTATTTCAAAGGGAAATGTTTTGAGACTAATTGAAAAACAGGTGCTACATTGTGCTGTAAATGAAAGCAAGATGGCATTATTAATTAACTTCTATTTTTGTTGTAGGCTTATACTCAGGGTGACTTCTTGACTAAAAGAACTTAATTTATCTGGGTGGGATGCCAATGTAATTCCACAAGTAAATATACTGGAAGATACGTGAATGTACAAATTTGAGGTAGATAAAATTTAATACCAGTTAGACCTTATGAGTATTTACTAAGTAGCATTATCTAATTATTTCTCATAGTAATACTAAGCTCTTGACATCATTATTAGTGTCATTTTTTCAGTGAGAAAACTGAGTCTTTGAGAAATCCTCTGACTTGCTCAAGGAAATTTATCTAATAACTAATGTATGTCAGTGCTTCTTAAATTTTAATGAGTGTTAGTTCACCTGTGGCTCTTGTTAAAATGTACAAGCTTATTCAGTGGACCTGGCTAGAGATGCTACATTTCTAATAAGCTCCCAGGTGATACTGATACTTCCAGTATAAAAACTATACTTTGAATTAGCAAGAGTGGAAGAGCATTCAAATTCAGGTGTGTCTGACTTTAAGATCTGCATTCTTATCTACTATACAAATATATCCTTTGGCCTGAAAAAAGTGTATAATCATAAAGAGGAAGAAATGAAGGCTAGGGAGTTTGCTATAAATTACTGTTCATTCAGATTGATTAAGAATTGCACCACTAGGAGACGAACCATGAGAGACTGTGGACTCTGAGAAACAAACTGAGGGTTCTAAGAGGGGAGGGGGGGTGGGGGCATGGGTTAGCCTGGTGATGGGTATTAAGGAGGGCACGTACTGCATGGAGCACTGGGTGTTATACGCAAACAATGAATCATGGAACACCACATCAAAAACTAATGATGTAATGTATGGTGAGTAACATAACAATAAAAAAAAGAATTGCACTACTAGGTATTTACCCCCCCAAAATACAAAGGTAGTGATCCAGATCCAGATCCTGTACCCCAATGTCTGTAGCAGCAATACGCACTATAGCCAAACTAAGGAAAGAGCCTAGGTGTCCATCAACAGATGAATGGATAAAGAAGATGTGGTATATATATATACAATGGAATACTACTCAGTCATCAGAAAATGAAATTTGCAACGACGTGGATGGAACTAGAGGGTATTATGCTAAGCAAAATAAGTCAACCAGAGAAAGACAATTATTATATGACCTCACTCATATGTGGAATTTAAGAAACAAAACAGGGGATCATAGGGGAAGGGAGGGAAAAATGAAACAAAAGGAAATCAGAGGGGGAGACAAACCGTAAGAGACTCTTAACCATAGGAAACAAACTGAGGGTTGCTGGAGGGGAAGAGGGTGGCAGGATGGGGTAACTGGGTGATGGACATGAAGGAGGGCCTGTGATGTAATGAGCTCTGGGTATTATATAAGACTGATGAATCACTGAACTCTATCTCTGAAACTAATAATACATTATATGTTAATTAATTGAATTTTAATTAAAAAATAAAAGGAAAAATTCCTAAGATAGAAAAAATAAATAAACAAATAAATAAAATCTTTAATGGGTTAGTAAAAAAAAAGAATTGGATATTCTAGTTGATAGAATATTCTGGAAGGCTATGAATTTTTTTAAGTGACTCCTATGTCAATTAGCCATCTTCAAAAAATGACTCAATGAAGTAAAATATACAGGAATTGAATAATTTTTCTTTTTTATTTGAGTGTGAGAAAATTTTAAACCTCTACTCTTCTACAGTATCAAGATTAGCAACCTAAGATGAAGAATTAACTTGAATTGGTTGTTTACTTACATATCTACTAAAGAAATTGCCAGTTTGGTTTGATAATTCAGTTTTTTGTTGTTTTTTTTTAAAGAACTGGAGTTTTTTTTCTTCCTTCCTTTCTTCTTTCTTTCCTGCTTTCCTTCCATTTAGTGGAATGATTAATTTTCAATATCTGCGATATATTTTATTATGCATGCATGTACACAGATTTTATGGTTTTGAACCTTACATTTTAAAATCAACAGCTTGCTGATTTAAAACTAATTTTATTGCTTTTTGTTTATCTTGCATTTGTTTGTAGTTTGACTCTAAACTATTCCTACCAAGATTTTCTTTTTTTCAATTTCAGCATTGATTTTGACATTTTATTCACACTCATTTTATGCTGTGGTCTTTTTATCTGTTCCTTCAACCAGCCTTAGAACTGAAAGAGAAATCAAAATAAAAAGTTTTAGTTGCTTTTGTCCTAAAACTATGTGTTTTATAAAAGCAAAACAGATTTTTGCACTTAAATAGTTGTGTTTTTGTTTTGTTTTGTTTTTATGACCATATAA